TTATTCATACAGTTCTATGCGTGGTTGGCGTCTTTGGTAGCACCGGTTGGTGTATAGCAAAGAGGCAAGTTACGATGCATTGGGTTGAGTTAAGGGTGGGTGAAGGGTTTTCAAAGCACTGCTGCTTCTGAAGACGGAGTAAAATGACACGCAACACTCACTTTAAAACGTCACATTAGACGTCAGTGAAGCTATGCCGGATTTTATGACGTCGAGGTGGAAGGTTGGACTATTTGTGTAACCATGCTTGCATCACGACGCCGGTTTAAGAGGGTTAATAAGCACATCTAGGATTTATCAAGGGGCATAGTGGATACAATGCGTATTTCGGCATACATGTTATGGTATCATTCACCAATAATTCGTCAGTCAACGCTGTCAATTTAACGCCTCCCAATCCGTACGCTCAAATACGAAACTGGACCATAGATATATAGCCTTCGTACCATCAAACGTGTGAAACGATATATCAAAATAATGATGGTGAAGGATGCTCCAACAAAAACATTTAGTACGTCCACGAAGCTTATATCATATTGTCCAACGGTTCCAACGACAGCTCGGTGCCACAACTAACACACGAAGTGGATGATGATAACTTGGAATTAGTAGTAAAATTTATTAGACGAAGCAAGAAGTCTGATATCTGCTCGTAGGCTTTGTAAAAAGAGCAACAAGACTTTAACTCCATACGTGAGTTGTGGTCTACACACTCTCAACCTAATATAAATAGTGCCAAGATACCTCTTTCGTCTTAGCTTTGAAGTATCGGTGAATAGGGGGATATTTCCGATTTTGTTTGCCGATTAGTCAGCCCAAATTAATTTGCGTGGCAATGAGTTAACGCCGGTGCCGGGCGGCAGGGCCGCTTACAACGGCTTGAAGGTCTTATGTAATACGGTCGTCTGAATTTTTTAGCCATTAGAGTTTTCATACCATGTCTGATTGTCCTGATGTCCCAGAACCCAAGAATTTGAAAGATGTTTTGGATTTATTTGAGGTTTTGAGTGCGAGTCAGCTTGAAGAAATTGTTGGCAAAGAACTTGACGGACGCGTTAAAGACTTTTTCAGTCTTAAAGATGTTCCGAAGAGTGTGTCTGGCTACCGCTCTATCAGCCAGAATTTTTACAACGTTATACACGAACTCAGGGAAATACGTAAGGTGATCGTTCAAAATACTGCCCAGGATACTTATGGAATATATAGTATCCTTGCGTCTTCTAATGTTGATGCTACCTGCGCCAAGCATTGCGCCAACCGTATCCTTACCATCCTACCAAGGCTTTATACCACACTCCTCTTTCTTAAGTTTCAAGTAGAGGACAATCATTCTCTAGGCGGCGGTACGTGGGAGGAACAGCAGTGTGGCGGAGGGGAGGATTCGGCTTCAGGTAAAGATGCGTTGAGTCACTGGCTTAAAAGTCTCCAAACAGGCTTACATTCTGCCCAGCATTCCGAATCCTTGCGGTCGGAGACCTCTCCAACTCTCTTGCCCGGCGGCTACGAGGGTGATCTAAGCAACACACTGGGTGGGGAGTTTGTAACTCCTTTGAGCAATCTCATAACCGATTCTGGAGAAGATGAGGGCTACCTTCAGTATTTTCTGCTTGACCTCGTTGTCATTACTGAGTATTCCCATTGCAACCTGGCAACGTGTTTAGTCGTAGTGAGGGCGCTGTGCAAGACTTATACAAGTAGCTTTCAAAATCAAGGCCAAGTTATCAGTGATCCGGAAAGCGTTCTCAAAAGCATTGCCACAAAACTGAAGGCATTAGCTCCCGAAGAAGCTGACGGTGACGTTAGCAATGCCCTACTCACCGCGCTGTTTGACGGAAGCCCTTCAAAGTATTCAGAGCATCTGAAAGCTGCCTACTTTGAAGGTCATATGAAGTGGCTTAGTAGCATTTTTGATGAACTTACCGCATCTTTAAAATTGCTCGGGGAAGAGTCTATGAAGTGGGATAAGGCTGGCCTTACAAATGCCAAAATCGCTGGTCCGTTCGGCTACGGTTTCTCCTTTAGTGAGCAGTGGAAAGGTGAGTGGAAAGATGACGTCGCAAAAACGAAAATACCTGACGCGATTCAAACGTTGACATCCGGTTTAGAAGAACTCAAAACGATTTTAGAACAAAGCAACACCTCTGCGGTCAGTCGGACATCTGGCTCTACCGGCTACACCTCCGCCATTACGCGAACGCCAGGTTCCTCCGAGCCCGGCAGCGACAACCCCTGTACGCTTGAGTCATCGGGTACTGTGACCGAGGTACCTGTGCCAAAGAACCTGAAGGAGGCGATTGACTGGGTGCTGAGAGTTTCCAACAAGGACGGTCAGGGGTGTGACGGTGACAAGGGCATTGAAGGCCTTTCGCAGGCTATTGTCAGCTTACTAGGCAAGGCAAAGCTTGATGACAACCAGTCTATTACAACAAAACTGCAGTCTGTCATTACCGCATTGGCCGAGGGATTTTGTCTTTTCATAGGGTATGATGGTAGCCATCGGCAGAAGCCCAATGGAAACGCTATGGCATCTAAACTATACAGTTCTACTTACGAAATTGGTACGAGGTGGAATCCTTCCTGGAATTCTAATTCCAACTCCGACTCTCAGAAATGCGCGACGATATTTCTAGCCTGCGTGCCTTTGTTTTACTTCGCTATGACGTATCTGCATTGGCGGTGTACTAGTGTAAATGGATGCAAGGGTGATTGGGAGCTCATGTGTTTTAATGGTGAATATAAGCACGATTTGAATGGTTCTAACAGCAACCCGCTTAATTATTTTATGGCAGCTGTGGGTTATAGCGATAAGAGTCAACTTAGTAATGAGAGTGGTAACGATGTCATGGCTAAGTTGAAAACAACGTTTAATGAGCTAGATACGACGTCGTATCCTGAAAGTGCGCCTCTATACGGCTACTTTCTCAATAAAGTGGAGAAGGTAGGTAAAGAAAGCTTGACCTCCACTCCCGAGAAATGCCCCCTGTATACGCTTCACCGTGCCGCAGGGACCTACTGGAAATCCGTTTCAGAAACAAGTCGTGGGATCAACACCGTCGTTGAGCATATCGCAACCACACTAAAAGAAACAACTACAGAGCAGTCAAATATGTATGAGCGCCTGACCGGGCTCATTACAGAATTGACGGAGAAAATAAAAACTTTTGCGACTCCTCCCGCGCCACCCGGACCCGGAAGTGACGAACGCCGTGAACCGGGATTCTCTGAGACTGTGAGTAGTGACGAGAGTCCGCCGATCAACAACGAACAACCACAGCAGCAGGCTCAGGCAGCAGGGTCGGTGACAGTGGCTGCCGGTGGCGTGGCAGCATCTGGTGGAATGCCGGATGGCGCTCCCGGTGAACCCTCTGGTGAATCTACAACTGCTGGCAGTGAACGTGAGTCTCAAGGATTACCTGGCACCCAAGGTTTACGAGGCGACACAGTCGAGACGGGAGAACGGGGACCGAGCGGCAATACGTCCCCATCGTCCCCATCGTCTTAATCATCCACACTCAATGCAGCCCATTTACCTCCCGTCAACGTTCCTCCACTACCTTTCTCAGCCGTCCAAGTCGCTGGCCCGGTTGCCATCCTTGCTCTGGGTGGCGGTGGAACCGCAGCTTATTTCTTAGACATAGGGGGTTTCGGTTCCATTGTCAGGAGCGTACTTGGTATAAGTTGACACTCGCATCAAACGCCATTGCATTACACACGTTGCATGGCATTCGGCCACTATTTCAAGCAGAGTTAAAATGTAGTGAAGTCACACAAATGCAGTCCAACAAAAGGCTTAAAGCCAGAGGCGTAGCCGCTGTTCATCCGAGAATATTTCAATAATTTAGTAATGGATGGTGTTAAAACAGAACACGCATCATGGGGCATTCAGTCAACGACAAATCACAAATCGGGTTGCCGGCAGAAGAGGTGCTAGCTACATGAACACCCAGCGACCTCATTGACAAACTAAGTGCTCTGGGACCATTGCACGCTAAACGGAGTTCCGAACTGGGTGAACAAATGAAATCAGTGTTAATATGCTGGCCCAAGTCTACATATTTGCCTTTGTATATAGCTCAGTGTGTATCACGTTGTTCTGGGAGGTAATCCCAATCTCAACTTTGGTGACGCGGTTCTTGCGCTTGTCAGCCACGATGATGTCCGGGCATGTTATACGGAACCATTTTTTGTTCATTACCTCCATGCCACACCATGCGCACCGGACTGTAGACTTCAGATCAAAGTTGCTATAATTTACAGTTTCCATGTTTTCGATGTATGCATGTTTTTCCTGCATTCCGTACGATGTCCCCTCAACTTCGTTGTCGTATTACAGTAACATGGGTTGACTTTCTAATTGGTACCATGAAAGTTTGGCACATCGGCGCTTCCCACAGCTGATATATCATCCTGTCATCAGAATAAATATGCTATCGTGCTTCTAACAGTCCAACTGTCTGTCGCCCTTGTGAGGTAGTGGCATCCTCTGTTAACTCCACGCTTCCTCTAGCTAACAAAAACCGTTTACAAGCAATTCTATAGGTACACATGTTACAAAAGTGTCCACCCTATGTTGTACTGATTTCAACAAAAGGTATTGGACCACACTTATATAATCTCGTGATGATGATTTCATGTACAGCTTGCATTAGTACAGTACAGCAACATTAATGACATTTCTTTATGCCCACCAAACAAAACGAATTCTAAGAACCTGTAATATCTTCAATTTCATGTCACTCATATTTCATTGGAGAATAGCAACTATGAGTTTTAGAATCCCATCAGATAAATTGTGAATCAAAAAATTACCTCAAACTTCCTACTCTGTTAGCCACTGACCGTGTTTGCAAATACTAATGATACCTTTTATTGTACAATAAATTCGGCAAACTTTGCTTCAGAAGTCCAGAAAGTGCAGAAAACTACCGAAGTAATGTTTTCATTTAATTGCGATGGCATATGTTTTTGAATATTGATGTACGTTTCGCTGCCCTAACAGAGACGGCGTGGCCTAATGGATATGGCGTCGGTCTACGGAACCGAAGATTGCGGGTTCGATTCCCGTCGTCGTTACTTTTTACACCGATTGAAAAACGTTGATTATCTCAAAAGAGCTCCACAAATGGCACAGTTGATTAACACCAGTTTATGTAATTTACATGTAGTTCTGTTATTGTCTCAAATGAGCAAACATTCTACACAGCGGAGCAAGGGGTTATGTGTGTTTGTTGATATATGAACCGGCGTTTTGAACCACCGGTAAGATGGTGAATTTACTTTTGGTTATAGAACCTTACAAAGCATTCCCTTTCACGCATAATTAGCGTTTGTCTGATATGATTCCATCTCCACACACCGCCCGTAATGTCGCATAGTATCTCACACAATGCGCCAGTTACAACGGCTGAACCCTTAACCACAAATTAGAAACTCAACGAAGCAAACAAAAACATGTAGAAGCTGAATATTCGCTTTAATTTCGCTAGCTATGGGGTGTAGGAACTTTGATGTGAAAACGTCACGACGCACGTCCACGCTGTCCTTCCAGTTTCGTGAACTGTTTTGCGTGAACTTCATTGGGAAATTGACCCTTATAAATTAGCCCAGTTCATTCATATGAGGAGTGTCTTATCGTTTTTTTACCATGAGCGCCGTGAAGAGGTCACCGTCAATACGAGAGCCTCGCAGCATCTCGAACGACGATAAATCAAAACAAAGTGACACATTGTGGAACCGGTTTACGTCAAATAAACTGGCAGTCCGTACTGTCTTGTGTTTTCTAATCTCGTTCGGGTTCATATTCGTAATGTGCCTAGGGCAAACGTACGTCGCGATTTTGTTGCTGTCTTTAATCAGTGTGTCCTACTACGAGTTGGTGGGTCTGTACGACAAGGTTGTTCAACAAAAGAGGCAAACGGCGGGGGAAGATGTCGGTGTTAAGACGACTACTGCTCCTGAAAAGAACAAGAAGCGCGTTCGTCTTTATGTTATTACGCAGGCATTTGACCTCTTATCTTTCATATCGCTTGAGACGTATTTGTTTGTGGCAACAATTGTTGGCATATCGTTTCCTTGGTTGTTGCCGCGCGTAGCCCGTCTGCACCCCAAGGTTGCCCGTGCCTGTGCGTTCATCCTTTCGTATCACAATCTGCTACTTTTCATTTCCTTTTTTTCTGGCATCATCAAGTTCATCTTAAGCTTGGAAAAAGGTCATTCGAGTCAGCAATTTCTTCGTCTCGCGTTCATTCTAATGGCGTTGTTTTACGTGGTCATACAGAGCATGATGATCATTGCCAATCTGTATTACGGACTGGTTTGGTTTGCACTCCCCCATTTCATGATATCGGTTAACGACACTGCGGCATACGTTTTCGGCAAAATATACGGCAAGACACCTCTGATTTCCCTTTCCCCCAATAAAACGCTAGAGGGATTTATCGGAGCATTTTTGTTGACCTCGCTAATTATGGCAATTGGATCCCCTTTCTTTTTGAGTCTCAGACCTATGGTTTGTCCCGTTAACAACTTTGACTTGACACCTTTTGCGTGGATGGGCAACAAGTGTGAACTGGAGAGCGTTTATAAGCTAACGACGTATATGTTACCTCACTGGGTAACCAAGCTAACAGGGTTACGGGAAATATATTATAGGCCATCTTTTGTGCACGTCATGATTTTGACGGTATTCGCCTGTTTGTTTGCCCCGTTTGGGGGATTCTTTGCTTCAGGTCTCAAGCGCGCTCTGAAGGTCAAAGACTTCGGCGACACCATTCCGGGTCATGGGGGCATGATGGATCGCTTCGACTGCCACGTTTTGATGGGCACATTTACTTATTTGTATCTGAAGACTTTCGTGAGGGGGTCGAAGTATAGCGTGGGTGCTGTAATGAAAGTGATTTCCAGAATGCGGCCTGAAGACCGCTCTCTGCTTCTGGAAAAGCTGAAGGAAGTGTACGGGTGACTGGAGGCATCCCTGCTCAAACCTTTCTGTAATTTTAGTGCTGTTATACTCGAAACTGTGGAGAGTATTTTTTGTTGCGTAGTTTTCCCGAAGGCGCGAGTTGTGGCATTGGAACAAAGATTGACACGCTGGCCTAGGACACGTGCAACTTCTCAACGGCCATATACCACATGTCCTGGGGTGTTACAATGCTTCTCAACGATGCTTGAAGGTTATATCACCGACTGGGCGTTTCCGTCTGAGAGCTTAGCACGCAGGGGTAGTACGGTGGATGATGGTCGACGATACCGAAAGTCGCGGCATTCGGCTAGACCAAACGACGCGTTTTAGAACCGACGTACGACACACAATCGCACTGACAAGCTATGTCAAGTCACGTCGAGTTCTACGTGTCAGTAACATCATGTCACAGTTTTTGGGGTGTGCACAAAACGATAGATACCGCCTACCACACGGCACATTTTTTTAATTGTGTAAAATTAATGGCGTTGATTTATTCGCTGTTTTTTATTTTTCTGCGCATCACCTTGGCAATTGGGATATCCCCTAACTCTGGGAGTCACGGTCACGCCGGACTGCGGTCTCTTAGACATACAGGGTTGTTCGCACGCACGAATAAGCCGCAGCAGGGCTATTTATCACCCAGAAGGTCCACGCATTCGCTAAGTGAAGGGCATAGACTTCGGCCTATCCGCGTGTCCCTCGTGCGCTACTCTGTCAAATTCGTGACTCCGGAGGGTTAGTTTGTAATTACCCTCATCTAACAGCGTCAAGGCGAGAAGGTGGTCGATTGCGACCCAGACGAATACATTCTGGAAGCCGCGGAGAATGCAGGTCTGGACCTTCCGTACAGTTGCCGAGGCGGTAGTTGCTCCACTTGCGCAGGTATTTTCCCCGTCACATATGTTGCACGCAATACTATCGCAGCGAAGGTTGTGAGTGGAACCGTAGACAATGAAGAACAAAGCTACCTAGATGACAAGCAGCTAAAGGAGGGATTCTGTTTGCTCTGCACAGCCTATCCCCGATCTGACTGTACAATTGAAACGCACAAGGAGGAAGAGTTGCACTCGGGTGAAGCTGGGTCGCAGACTTGATCTGTAACGGCCGCGTACACATTCGCCGGCCCAACTCCAATCATGCATCCTCCCAACCACAGCCAGCGAAACGACAAACACACCGTTCTGACTCATATACGACCCACCCACATCGCATTAGCTGCGTATTCAATATAGAGACCGTTACGAAATAACAGGTTCACTTGAGCGGGATGAAGCGGGAGGAGTGCGTCGCTCCGATACCAGGCTTTCCGTGCATGACCGGCTTGTACGTGATGGAGAACTCTCCCACATAGTAGCCGACCATCTCGGGCTTGATCTCGACGTTGATGTACTGCTTGCCGTTGTATACACCGACGATGGAGCCAATCATCTCCGGGATGATGATGGTGTCCCTCAGATGGGTCTTTACGGGCTCCGGCTTCTCTCCGTAGGCTAGGTCCTTCTTAGCCGCCCTAAGCTTCTTGAGAAGCGTGAGCGTGCTCTTTCTGATGCCTGCAGGACCGTGACGGTGTTCCCACCACAAGCGAGCTTACCCCTGGAGAACCGCCTCCTCTGTCTGGACCTAAGCAGAGAGATGAAGTTGTCCATCGGCATCTCTAGCAATTTTTCAAGTTCGTACCCGCGGAACTTGAAGGTCCTAAAGGTCCTTTTCCTGTTACCCTGTGCTCCCTGGTCCGCCTGCGACGTGTTAGCCATGGATATACGGAAGTTCCGCTGCTCACCATTTTTATCGATGTGCAAAGATATTAATGATACCGAAGGCCACTACTAGAGTGTCATTTATGGCTTGTGTCAACCGTCGTTGTATTCCCCCATGCCACCAGTCCCCATGAAAGCCGCTCGAGTCGACCAGCTCGCCATCACCCGCGGTGTATGTTACAAACTGAGCAACTTATATTTTTCACATAATTGGGTATAAAGGCGTCCAACAAATACGACACCCTTACAGCCGGGTGGGCCGCGTGTAGCCCGAGGCACCGTGGAAGCGCCTCGCGCGCTCATAACTATCACACACACCGTTTGGCTGTTACGCTGCCTTAGAAGTGCGTTTTGAGGTGGTTTATATGGCTAGAAGATCGGCCGCATCTCAGGTTGCTGACAATCACAAGCACGTCTTCATACATTGCAGTTATATGCCACATCCGTGGAACGTAACAGCAGTTACACAACGCTCGCTTGCTCTTTCATGTAACTTCTGCCCATATTCTATACGCTTGAGAGACGGTTCAAACGATGTGTCGGTCTCTTAACACCACAAAGGCGGCAAGGTAGCAGCTTACCTAGTGCGGCCATACTATAAACACATGAAATATGCTCAGTAAATAGCTCTACAACTATTACGGTGCAAGGATTGCGGTGGTGTGTGGCGTGTGGTCACATTTTCCGGGGGACTGTGTAAGAAGGACAGCAAAAATGGCTCTCATATCGCTGAAGTATCTCTGCCTGTACGTGTTGGCCCACAATTTCTGCCGGCATTGCGCTGCAACACCTGTTGTTGAGCAGAAAACCAACACCCCAGAGGTGGAAACGGCCGTGTCTGAAGGCATGGCCAAGTTGTCTTCTCGGGATTCTACTGTTGATATCGACACAGCGAAGACACAATACTTGGGAACTCTTTCAGCCGGTATACGCGATGCTGTCAAAGCACGGCTGGATACGTACGTTGAAGCCAAGCGAGACGCTGTTGGCCATGGCCAATCCCGCACGGGGTGCTGTGGTACGTCGGGAAAGCAGGATGTGAGAAAAGGCGGGGCGTCTCACGACGTTAAACGTTGTGCTTCCCCTTCCGAACCATGCCATGGTGAGGCTGTGAGGGAATCGCACTCTTTGGCCAATCTTGGATCGGATCAGAAAATGCGTAGTGGGGATGAAGTGCCCCTCCGCACTCAGTCTTCTTGCGGAAGAGGATGTAATTGCGGAAGTGGGAACGGTTCCGTGGTTGTTTCTTGCGCCGATGTGGGCGCCTCTTGCGGAATGGCTGCATACTTTGAGAACAGCTTTAAGACTGTCATACTTTTCCATTTCTGGAAAACGACAACGGCAGCGGAGTAT